TGTGTGTGTGTGTGTGTGTGTGAGTGAGCCTAAAGATGAACTCCTTGCAGTGAAATCTCCCTGTTGTTGAGATCTACCTCAGGTTATCTTGTCAGTCGGTGCAGAGTGCTCTTCAGGCCACCTGATAAGGTCTTTAAGAATACACAGGGAGACAGACAGTGAGTGACACAGTCAGGATACTATATCACTCCAATGGCAGGCTCACACAGTCCGTCGTGCTTGAAGAGGTACCTTTCAATTAAGACGCAATCTATTCAGGCTGCTGATTGAGCTGTTTATCGCTGCAGACGGGGCGCAGCGCAGGGAATTTGTTGCATTCGGAGAAAACTTCACTTAAAGTATGAAGATGTAGGTTTGCATGATGCATGAAACTTCCGCTGCAAATGCATGAAGACGTGTTTCAGATTTCAGGCTTAGGTCCAGGGATGAAAGACTAAATCTCTCATTTGTGTTGCGGGATGAAAAGGGTTTAACGGCTCCTGGAACAGATGCAAACAACCTGCAGCGAGGCAACTGGCAACGTGATAGTCAACGGGGTCTCCTCCACGTGGAAGCATCGGCGCAGTGGGGGGGTCAGGGGTCAGCGTGCATTGATTCGAGAGTTGCACAGTAGAGACAGAAATATCGTGGAACAATAAGCAGAGGCTCCGATAGTCAGGGGGAGAGGGGGAATACTTCAAGGGGGCCCCAGAGCTTAAGGGGGCCTGCACATGCTGTGGAATTCCAAGCAGCACTTCTTACTTACTTGTTTTTGCATCATAGAAGTAGTAAACAGATGCTTTCATTTTTGCAACTAGACCAAAAAACCTCATGGACATAGTGATGCCAAGGGTGTCTCACGTGAATCTGCTCGTGCAGCTCTGCATTTAGAGGGTTCAGAAGTTGGCCGTCCGCTATCACCACACAACAACCATGTCAAAGTAGCGGGAGGGGGGGGGGGGGGGGGGGGGAACCCAGCTGTTAAATGTGTGTGTGTTTAGAGTCAGGCGTGTGGGGGGGTGGGCCTCTTTTCACAGCACAAGAGTGAGGCAGGAAACTTGTGTTTGTGTGTCAGTGACGGCTGCCTCTTGTATGCTGTCCTCAGAAATGAATACAATGCTATGTCCGAAAGATGCAGTATGCACATGAACAGCAGGGGCAGTTAAGATAATAGCAACCTCCTAGACTGTTTGCATATTTTTATTTACATTACTCGAATCCTGTTTTTCTATAAGCTCTCTGGTCTGCCCTCTAAAGGTGTCCTACAGTAACACCGGTTCTACACACAAGTTTTTATGCTTTGGTTTTTGCGGGGATTCAACAGGTTTTTAGAATATAGGACAAGATGGTGAATGTCCCTGGTCTGTTTGAAGGTCTTCTGCACAATTTAAGGGGTCCACAGGGACGTAACCTCAGTGGTGCACCTTAGCGCCATCAAGTGTTTTTGCTTGTAATTAATGACACAGGCCGAACTTGAGGGTACCCTGAGGCTAAAGGTCAATCTGACATACAAAGCATCAAGTGGGATGCTGCATCACTATCTGTTATTTGTGTTCTCATTTTCCAATGTGGTCCTTGTGCTTGTTTCTACGGCGGCCGAGAGAGCTCAACGCGCTGCGAATTATGAAAATAACTTCATCAACACATGCAAATACAGAAACGTGCTGCAAAAAGGAAATGTTTCCTGGGACACCCCCCCCCCCCACCAAAAAAGAAGCATTGAACTACAGCCAGGTTCTTCACTGTTTTGGGTCCCCTGGAAACATTTCCTTTGTCGCTCTTGCAACTTTCTCTCTGTATTTGCGTGTGTTGTCAAATTGATGAAGTTGTTTTCTCCAAAAAGTGTCTTCTCAGTTTGTTGAGCTCTCTCTTCTCTGTAGATTTCCCCTGTATCCATCTATTCATATTAAACAGTTATTGATTGAGAAGTCTTATAATGTTTGATTTGTTGTCCAATCAGTGTGTGTGTGTGTGTGTTGAAAGAAAAGGGGGGGGGGAAGAGAGAGAGAGNCATGTAATTAAAGGAGACGGACGTCTGTGAAGAGAGAGAGAGAGAGAGAGAGAGAGAGAGAGAGAGAGAGAGAGAGAGAGAAACGTCCAATAATGGCAGACGCCCCGCCCCCCTCCGTGGGGTTACCATGGCAAACGGCGTCGACGTCACAATGGAAGGAACGCCGTCTATAAGTATCGGAGGATCTGCGGCGGCGGCTCGCGAGCTCGGATGTGTGTCCTGGAGGAGTGACACGTGCTGGGAGAAAACATATAAAACTTTAAAAAAAACAACAACAACGGGCACATCCTTCATAGTGACTTAATGGTTTTTTATTGTACATAATTTATAAGGTGGATTTCCTTTTTTCTTTCTTTCTCAATTTTTACTGGGGAGAATTAAATCGACAACTGGGCAGCCATGGGGAGAGGAGTGAGTATACGTGTGTGTGTGTGTGTGTGTGTGTGGCAGGGGGGGTTTAAACTTCGCCATTCAAACAAGTGGTTTCTCTAAATCTGCGTCGCTGCCGGTGATGGGATGTTGAAGTGTCACATGTTTTAAAAAAAAGGTCTATTTCTCTTCAAATGCCCGAAAAGAAACTACTACTTCCGTGTTTGCGAACCCCGCGAGCCCAAGACCCCCTGTTTTCACCTCATTGTTTGCGGGGGAAGAAGTTAGTGTTTTCCGTGGCTCTCGGAGGAGCCTCCCAAAACCGGAGTGCGGTTACATAACGGGATGTTCTCAAACGCCCGGGACTGTCAAAGTTTCTCTGCGGAACGACATGAGCAGAGATGCAAGTCAAACCCGGTTTAAAGTGAGGAAACCGCGGGTTGAAGCTCCGCGGTGGTTACTTCACGGACTCCACTCGTGTGCTTTAATGTAACCAAACATGCGTGGGAATTTCCAGCATCTGTGCCACTAATATGCAGCAGTTTTTCTTCTTCTCGCTCTTATTTTAGTAGTTGTCAACCCAGCTGTGAATTCTGGGTAGAAGGGATGTGTTGAAAGCACAACCCCCTCCTCCTTTCTTGCAGGGAGATTTGATCTGTTACCAATTGTGTGAAACTTTATCTGAAGTCGCATCTACGCACCTTTTTTAGGCACAATGGCAAAGAGTGTGGCCACTTTTCAGGCTCATGCACTTTTGTGGGAGGCAAATGACATGCATGTGGTGTTGCACTTGCAGGAATCAATCGCAGGAGGGATTCTTTTGGCTGTGCATTCCGCACAAGCCTGGATTTCATGTCACAAAATGAATATTTGAGCTCAAACAGGAGGTTGTGTGTGTGTGTGTTTCTGTGGTTTCCATCATCAGATCATTCGAGATTTTGACCACAGGCATCCTCTGAACGTGATCCCGTCAAAAGAAGACGCATCCCAAATTCACCAGCAGCTGTTATTGTTATTGTTCCTCGCACCAAAGTTGAAATTCTCCACAGACCTGCCTGAGAGGCACGTATGAGGCAGGAAATCGAACCCTGAAATATTAGTCGCCACACCCTTCCATACTGCGCATTAGAAACACTCATTATAGATTCAGCCTGCAAGGGATGGAGAGATGGACAGAGGGGAGAGAAAAGGTGGACCGAGAGATCTGGCGGGAGATGTGAAGCAGGGTGGCTCATTCAGTCTCCTTCCTCCGTGAAGATCATTTACGATTCTGAAAATCTTTCCTCTTGGCTGCTCCTGCTGCTGCTATTTCTTTTTTTCCCTCTCTTCTTCCTCCCATATGTGATGAAAGCCATGCCCTGCCCCCATCCAACCTCCATCCACCCCCCCACTGTGTCTCCCCTCCTCTCCTGGTGTAAGGAAAGAGAACTGGAGGGGGGAGGAGAGGGAGGATGAGAAGTTGTTGTGTTGTAATGGAGAAGAATCAGGGCACTGGAGTGGGAGCACAGGTATGAGAGGAGCCTCTGCAGTGATGGTTATTTTTCTGCCCCGTTTCCCCCTTCGTGATTTGAACATGAACCTCTCAACCACATCTTAATATGAGATCACTCCTTCGCTGCCCTTTTCCAGTTTTCCCATCACGTACGCTGCAGATTGCAATGAACAGACAGAAAGCAAGCAAGTGAGCTGAGAGGAGGAAGAGGAGGGATTGATTGCTTGAAAGAGGGAGGTGGAGGGGGTTTTATTGAGAGGAGCCAAGAGGCACCAGTTCCTGCATTGCCACTGTTGAGCTACTTGGCTCCCAGACGTGATTTAGAGGACGGTGGTTGGGGTGCGGCTCAAAACGGCAATAATTCAGCCCTCAATTATTTTAGTTGGATGCCGTTCATATCAACTGCAAACCTCGATATGTTTCCAATCCTAATAAAATAACTTGATCATCACTTTTGTCTGCACTGACTGCTTAACTATGCAGCGATGCAGAGCAGGGATTCTGTGACAGCTGTGAAACTCACAGGAGACCGATGCAGCTAAATATTTCATAATCTTACCTCACTCAATAATTCCTCCTTTACTGGGTGAATTATAATGATGACAGCAACTTAAAAATACATATTTCATTGTAAAAACTCTGTCTGCAGATATTTGGAGAAGGGAAAAGATGAGGAAAGCTTCTTTTGTGTTATTGTTATCAACAATAAATCTATAATCAAGCTGCACCAAACTGCCCACACTCGAAAGATATCAGTCCCCTAAACATACCCATCAAGATTCATTAATTATTTAAATAAACCAATTTCACAATGTTGAAGGAAGTGAATTCCTGTGTCCGCACCAATTTTCTTCCAAAAAAAACCTAACCTCCTTGGCAGCTGTCATAAAAATCATCATGCAGGAGACGTGTGCATTATTCAAAATATCAAGTTTAGGGCAATTTGAATATTAAAATAAACAATTTAGGAGTATTGGTTGATAATACTTCAAGGTTAGGTTTATTAATTTGTCCTTTAGGCATTAGAAGACATGGAAACTCAAACAGTTTTATATTTTAAGTTAAATTTATGCATTTTAACTCCTTGCACACTTTAGATGTTAAATTGAATAGTCAATAAGTTGATAGATCTGCAGATCCTCATTAACCCAGTGTGCAAATGTGTAAATCGTGTGTGTGGTTCAGACAGAGCTTTAAAGGCTGCTTCCTGAATGGTATGAGTCTTGGCCACTGTTCTCGGAGCCTTCACACTTGACCTACAGACCCGGAGAGGCCTCTTGTCTCGAGCAGGTCTGATTGGAGCACAGAGGAGAAATCATATTGTGATGAAATGTCTCTTTAGCGGCAACACTCGCACCCAAAACAAGCCTCAGAGTTGAGGACTGCCGTTTTTATTTTTCACACTCTCTCCGCAGCCCTCAGCCCTTTTCATCTCCGACAGAGGGGCTCCGCGGCTGCACCTTCACATCCATCCTTCACAGTCTGTTTCCCTCTTGTTCTCTGTGTTTGTACCTGTTTTCCTTCCCTCCGTCCCTCTCCCTCGCTCTTTCTCTGAGGATTTAACATTCTTTCCGCTTGGCAGTCATTGTGTATTAACCGGGGCTTTTGTCACACGCCACCCCTCGTCTGTGACAGAACACAGCGCACTCCCACCCTCTCGCATACTCACTCCATCTCTGACTTCCTCTCCTGTAACCCCCCCCCCCCCCCCCCCCCCCCATCTGCTGTACCTTGTTTCATCTATCTTTTTTGCTGCTCTTTTCCTTCCTTCATCTCTTCCCTCCCTCCCTCCCTCTCTCCTCCAGTTCTCTCACAGGCCAGCTCGCTCCCTCCTCGCCTCTGTTTGGCTAAGCAGCTTGAGCCGCTCGATTTTGTTTTCCGTGGCAGCTCTTTGAACTTTCGCTGCGAGCCTGTTGCTCGGCCGGAGTGGAACATTCACATTAGAAATAACAAACTCCAGAGCGCACTGTTCCCCTGCCTGTGTCCGTGCATCTCCTACGTGAAGAAATACGGTGTTTTTCCATGACATGTCGTAATCCGGGTCCTCAGCACTGCGGCCTGGATCACTGGGCACTTTGTTCATGGGATTACGATGACGTGAAAAGACAGGAAGTTTGAAAATTTAAGGCAAAGAGACCCACTCAGCTCCCCCTCCTCCCTCCTCGAGGAAATGATGCAACTTGTAGCTATGGTGTCTTGAATAGTTAAAGCAGCAGAGGAGTGGCTAAGGTCTGAAAGCAAAAAAAAAAGGAGTCATTGATTTACTGCTTCATTCATTCTGTGCCAGAGGAACTCCTGGTTGCCTGTTCTGCTCCTTAGACACTTGCTTTTTCCCACATTAAGAACAATTTAAAGAGTCCTTTTATACAATCAAATATTTGCTTGTCAGGGAAGAAGATCCTTTGTCTTGTTGGATGAATGAAGATCTATGCATGCACCTTAATTTAATCAGAAAAGTGGACATTCCTAAAAGGTTGGAAAACAAGGAACACAAAACAGTTTGAACTAGATTCCTCCACCAAGGCACAGCAGTCCCCTTATGAAACCACATTTAAATCCACTGGATCCAGATTCTTATTTGGATCTACAGCAAATTTCGTGGAAATCCGTTTTGTAGGTTTTGCTCAATCTTTCTTACCATCTAAGAAACCAACAGATGGGTGAAAACATAACCACCTTGGCAGAGAGGATTGTGTTTCAATGGAAGTTAATATTTATGTTCACAACCTAAACACAATAACCGATGCAAAATATCACAAATAGTTAGGAAGCCATGAGTAAAAAACAAAACATTTACTTAAAATGTGCTTTTGGAACAGGCTGGATATTGTGTGAGACTCTTTGGTGGAGTTCTACTTCATAAGTTGAGGAAAGCGATGGTGATGGAGTGATAATTCACCATTTGTCTGACGGTGGCAGTTTGTGAATTTCTCATTTCAGCGGTGCTGGGCGGTCGGAGAAGCGCCCACAAAGTCTCCAACAAGGAGAGGCATTCATTCGTTCATTCATTCGCTCATCCATTCACTTTTGTTCTGCTCGGGGGGGAAAGCTGAAAGTTGCACTGGACGTGGAGGGAGAGTTAAACACTGCTCCCGTGTAAATTAACACACTCTGCTTTTCACCGTCTGAACAGAAAAGAGGGATGGTTGGGAAGAAATGAAAGAGGAGGGAGACAGAGAGGGTGGGGGAAGGGGCTGCAACACGTGATTGCCCATTCACATATCTCAAGAGGTGCTGTAATAGTCGCCGGTAGCAACGGGGCACAGTTCCAGGACTGTGTGAGTGTGTGTCGCCACAGTTGAATGAGCAGCTTGTGTATCTGGCTCCTCATAGGAATTAATTTCTTCCTGTAAAAAGTGTGTTCTTTAAAATATGCAGCCACTTGACCGAGCGCTATCTTCTGCTACGTGTGAGCCTTCAGGACGTGGTTCTCTCAAGGGAACGGGAGGGAAGGCGTGCTCAGAAATTCTTGCTTAAGTTCAGAGGCTCATTCATTCTCCTGCTCGATTTCTGGAGAGCATTTCTTCTTGTCATTCAAGCACAACTCCCC